CACCAAAAGACCCATCAGGTTCTTTTTTTTTTTAAACTGAGATGGAGTCTCACTCTATAGACCAGGCTGGAGTGTAATGGCGCGATCTTGGCTCACCACAACCTCCGCCTCCTGGGTTCAAGCAATTCTCCTGCCTCAGCGTCCCAAGTAGCTGGGATTACAGGCATGGGCCACCACGCCTGGCTAACTTTTATTTAGATACATTTTTTTTTTTTTTTGAGACAAGGGTCTCACTCTGTCGCCTGCCCCGATCTCGGCTCCCTGCAAGCTCCGACTCCCAGATTCATGCTATTCTCCCACCTCGGTCTCAGTAGCTGGGACTACAGGCGCCCGCCACCATGACGCTCAGCTAATTTTGTTTTTATATTTTTAGTAAGAGACGGGGTTTCACCATGTTGGCCAGGCTGGTCTCAAACTCCTGACCTCAAGTGATCCACCCGCCTCCGCCTCCCAAAGTGCCGGGATTAAAGGCGTGAACGATAGCATGGACCCATCAGATTCTTAATATTTGCAGAAGATTTTTCTAAAATGAGAGTTTTCTAAAAGTTTTCTTCCAACTTTAGAAATAAAAATCATGTTATCCCATCAAAGAACAATATATGATTTTCACTTTTAGGCCAATCATTAGTCTAGATCTACTTCCAAACAGATTTAGCTCAAAGCTTATCTTTCCTCTGAAGTACATACGTATTATGCTAAAAACTGTCACGCAAATATATAAGCAGCTCTGATCCAGAAATGCAAGGAAAATGTATGTGAGAAAGCAAGAGTATTTATCTCCTCACAGAGAACAGAGTAAGAGCTGGTTTATAAGAAAGCATCTATTTGAAAAATAGATGTACTGAAATGGGAAAATGAAGAGTAAGACCACATATAGGGTATACTTCTTGGTGTTACAATTTTGAAAACGGATTACTAATGAATGTCTAAAAATTTCACTGCTAATACTCATTTGTCCTCAGATAGGACATTCCTGGAAATCAAGCTCAGGGTGAATTTGTGTAGACACACTGCACTGCATGGATCGGTTAAATATCCCTTCAATCTCCTCCAGTTTACCATCTTCCTTCTTCAATGTCTTAAGATTTTCATTGATTTACTCAACAAACATTTGACACCTACTACATGCCACAAAGTTAAAACACCAGAGAAAGCAAAAGGAGTAAGACACAGTATCTGCCTTCAAGGAACTTACAGCCAGCTCCAGAGTGTTGGTGAGTGCACATGTCATAGTGTTAATGGGTGCTTTCATGATACAGGGTCTAAGAGGAGCCACAAGAAAGGAGCAGTCAAATGGGAGAAGCAGTCAAGTTAAAGTTCAACAGAGATGGGGGACACCTGACTAAGGAGGAAGGGGAAACACATTCCAAGAGTCAACATCACACTCAAAGGCAAGGAAATATACAACATGGCCCATCAAAGCTTTGTAGATCCACAGACAAGCACTAGACCTACAAAATCAGAATCTGCATTTTAAGAGCCCCAGGTAATCATGCTTACTAGAGTTTGAGAAGCCCTGCTGTAGAGCACTTCAAAGTAGTAGTCTGGTATGGCTAGAACACAGGATGCCATGGTAAGGAACTCACAAGAGATGATGCTCCAGAGGCAACTCCAGCTCATAAAGCACCTGTGCTAAAGAGTCTGGATCTCATTCTGGACCCAATGGGAGTCACCACAATGCTTAAGTGTAAGTAGGAAAATGACATGATCAAATTACCAGGGAGACTAGGGAATGATGATGGGGTTGGAGGAAAAGGGATGGCATTCCAAATGAAGCAGATCTAACAGGGCTTAATCATTTGTGCAATCAATAAATGGGGGGGTGAAGGGAGTAAGAGATGAATGAGAAAACAAACATGTAGATATCCAGGATCTTTCTGGAAGGCAGGTAGAAACAGCAACATTCATGAAAACAGGGAACGCAAGAGGAATAGATGTGAGAAGGAGGAGGAGTCCAATTTGAGCTGTGTTGGCTTTGAAGTACCTATAGTTCAAGCAGGTGGATGCGTCTAGTAGACGGTCCATATGTGGGAGAAACATCATCAGATAGGTAAGTAACGCCCTGAAAAATGAAAAAGGTCACAAAAGAGAATAAAAACACTGAGAAAACATAGAAGGACCACGGGTGAAACTACCAAGAACATCAGCATTTAATAGGTGAACAGAAGAAAGAGGAATGAAGCAAATGAGACAAATCCTAAAGAGAAGAGAATCTAGAAAAACGGTGTCATCAATACTGAGAAAAGGGTCTCATGAAGGGGAAAATGGAAGAGTAATATGCGAGGTTAAGGCCTCAAAAGTGGATTTGGTAATTAAAAGAGGTCCTCTGAAAAAGTTAAATAAACATACATCTTACACATACACAAGTCAGTAAAAGGATAACTATCAACTAATGGCTCTCTGGTTGACAAAAATTAAGGGTGATTTTTAGTTTACTGTTCCCACCACCCAGGTTTTGCAACTATTCCTCGAGGTACTTTGAGGAATAATTTTTGCAAATGTTCCTCAAGGCACTTTTGAAATAATTTTTCAAAAATACAATTAAAAAATCAATAAACAAGATAATAATAGTCTGACAGTGGTGTGACTGCAGTGAGTAAGAAAGGGAATGAAAAGTGAGGAAATCAGAGACAGAGAATTATGGATAGGGAAGAGACTGAGAAGCTTCTAGAGTAAATAGAGTTCCAGGAAAGGTTCTGTGTTTCAGGTGGGCAAGATCTGGGCATGGTTACAGGCTGTGGGGTAGGAGACTATATACAGTCCCCAGAGTTCAGGAAAAAGAGGGAACAATTACCTTTATTGCCCGTTATCACCTGAACACATAGTGGTGAACAAGACAAAGTCCTGCTCTCATGCAGCTTACCTTCTACTAAGGAAAAAAAAAAAAAAACACAGAGAAATAAGTAATGATATCAGACAAGTGAGGTGTGCCACGAATAAATCTAAAATAGGACTGGCATGTTTTGGATTGAGTGTTGGGGTAAGGCTACGACATTTGAGATCTGAATGACAAGAAAGCAACTTTACAAAGATAAGTGGGAAAGGCCTTTACAGATAATGAAACTGAGGAACTGAGAGGTTAGTAAGATGTCTGAGATTATGCAGTAAGTAAACAGAACCCAGGTCTGATGAACACCTAGACCACCCTTTCTACTAAACTGTGTTCTCTTTATTCAGTTCTCCTCAAATGCAACAGTGAAGATAAAAGAAAATGTGGACCTTCCCCTGACCTTACAGAAATGCTGAGGACTACAATAATAAGAGTAATGGGCACAACTTTCTCAAAAGAAACTCTGAAAAAGCCAAGAGATGCATGTAGTTCTGCGCTCAGAGGCATGATTTCAGAAAGTCAACTGTTCAAGTCTAATATGAAAACACAGGCAGGCTCCAATTACAAGTAGGTTACATTCCAAAGACTATAAGTTGTTAAGAAATCATAAATTATTTTCTCCACGTAATTTTACGGCGAGGTTAGGTGTTCAGGCTGGTCCACGAAGGTCCGCATAACAACCTAAGTAGTAGTTATGAATACTGTAGTAACCGACAAAGCACTTACTATGCATCAGGCCCTATACTAAGTGCTAAATACAGATAATTCTGAAATATTCCTAACACCATTACTACTCCCATCTTATAGCTAAGGTAACTGAGGCCTGGAGATGTTAAGTAACTTGTCTAATGGCATAATGCAGATAAATTGAGGATAAAATGCAGATAAAACTGGAGTAGGCTGCAGTCTGGGCCCAGCCTACTGCAGATCCCTGGCTCTCAGTCCTTATGCAAGCTCTCAAAGTACCTTAATTTATAAGCATCAGTCTCTCAAAATCATTTTCTCCAAAGCTAAAAGCTCAGCAACCTATCTCCCCTTCTCTGGTGGTCAGAATACTATTAATAACCAAATGAACACTTCCATCAACTTTTTTTATCCCCTCCACTACAAAAGTCTATACCAAACCTATCTCTGATAAATCTCAAACCATGAGAGCATTTAGTCGCACATCTGACACCCACTGAGAGTTTAACTTGCCTTTGCATCCCCAGATTCCAACAGAGCGCCTTGCATGTGCTCATTCATTCAAAGACACTTATAGGCCGGGAGCGGTGGCTCACACCTGTAATCCCAGCACTTTGGGAGGCCGAGGCAGGAGGATCGCTTAAGGTCTGGAGTTCGGGACTAGCATGGCCAACATGGTGAAACCCAGTCTTTACTAAAAGTACAAAAGTTAGCCTAGCATGGTGGCGCACACCTGTAATCCCAGCTACTCGGGAGGCTGAGGCAGGAGAATCACCTGAACCTTGGAAGCGGAGGTTGCAGCGAGCCAAGATCGCGCCATTGCACTCCCACCTGGGCTACTGATCTCGAAATAAATAAATAAATAACAAAGACATTTACAAATCCTGCCATGACAGTTACCAACTCGTACAACACCTTCCTAAATGCTGAAGGAAAACCCCATTCAAGAGAACGCAGGCAAAAGCCCAGACTAATCATAATCCAGCATCCAGCTTTAGGCCATCCGTGGCTCACCCAAACTCCCAACCCATTCCCCGCCGCCCCCTCCCACGCAAAAAGCTAAATTTCTCAGTATCTAAATGCTAGGTGGTTACTGATTACCAACAGTGACCCCACGTGGGACACCACCCAAGCTAGCCGAGTGTAAGGAGGAGACCACCACCCGACTCTCCAAAGCAGTTTTCAAAGCCCCCCCTCGTCTTCGTTGACCGTGGGTACCCCGAGGACCGTAAGACCCAGGCTGAAGTGGCGAGGGCAGGATTCAAGCCGGAAGCAAGCCATGCCCGCATCCGTGACCTTCTGAAGGCGCTTAACCCTGTCACCCGAAAATCCCTGGTAGGGAGCGTGGTGCGGGGCACGGGGAGGCTCGGTCCTGGGGCGGCGAGGAGGGTGGCGAGCACAGGCGGGACCCGGTCCCTGACGGCGCCCACGACCCCGGGGGGCCCTCGCGCCGCAGCCTAACTGGAAGAAGGGCCTGGGCACTCACCCAGCCACGGGCCCGGCGCGAGCGGCAGGCAGATAGGAGGCGGCATGCAGCCGGCCCGGGCCGCCAGTGAGGAGGCGCAGGGAGAGCGGGAGGCGCGGGGCCTCCCCGGCACGCAGCAGCCAACACGAGAATCTCAGCAGGGCTGCCATGGCTCGAACGTCCCCGCAGCGGGAAGCACGTTCCGCCAGAAGGACAGGAGGAGCACGTGACCTCAGGGTCGCCCGGCGCGGCAGAGACCAACTGCAGGGCGCGCCAAATGTGGGGGAAGCCAGGGATCGTTTTAGGTTGGAAGATGGAAATCCGCACTTCTCTGAGAAGAGGGGAGTCAATGTGATACTCATATAAACGATGTTGCTTGTTTCGTTATCGAAGCATTTCTTTTCCGTCTTCCGTCTCCGATCTGGGCATCGTGTTCATTCGCTGCACCCCCGCATTCCTCTGTTCGTAGAGTCGCAAGGGGTCAACTCCTCCCAAGTTGGCGCAGAGGCTTGCGGGAGGCCAACTAGTAAAAACACCGAGAACTCTCGAGAACAGCCGACTATGAAGATCCCAGGATGAGACCGTTTCCCCGCCCCCGAGTGCAGACGTTGCAACCAACTTTCAGCGTTGACGCGATCTCCAATAGGAACGGCCCTTCACTCTCAGAAACGCTGGCCAGAGAAACCGTGGAGGACTTTTCACCTTGCCGTTTGCCTCCCAGGTTCAACATGATAGGATTTGGATTATTAGGGCCTGGGAACAGCGTAAAGGAACGCGCGGGTCACCACCTTAAGCGCGTATGCGGGGCCTCGCTTTAGGAAATAAATGAATTCTACCAAAAGTCCTATAGTTTTAAAGCTGGAATTGAACTGTCTTCCCAAACCCTCCACGCCTACTGCGCCTCTCCCTTCAGTAAATGCACATATACATGTGAGAAGTAGAAGAACAATGCAATTAAGTCTCCAGCCAAATCTGGGGAGAAAACAGGCAAGTTAAACCCATCGCTGGGCCGGGCACAGTGGCTCACGCCTGTAATCCCATCACTTTGGAAGGCCGAGGCGGGTGGATCACCTGAGGTCAAGAGTTCGAGACCAGCCTGGCCAACATGGTGAAACCCCTTCTCTACTAAAAATACAAAAAAAAAAAAAAAAAAGTAGCTGTAATCTCAGCTACTCGGGAGGCTGAGGCAGGAGAATTGCTTGAATCCGGGAGGTGGAGGTTGCAGTGAGCCAAGATGGCGCGATTTTCCAGCCTGGGTGACACAGCGGGACTCTGTCCAAACAAAAAATCCACGTCGCTGCTGCCTTCACAGGGCTTACAGACTCAGTCGGTTCCCTGTGTACACGTGGGAAACTGAGAACAGCCTCCCACTCCCTCTCCACCTGCTTGTCCCCTACCTATCACCAGGCGAATGTGCGGGTATTTCCTCTGGAAGCCCTCCCACGGTCATTTCCCATGTGACTGTTTATCCCACTGGGCCATGAACTCCTTATCAGTAGGGACTGTGATCTCTTACTGTAGGCCACACACCTACCCAGTGCCAGATACACAATAGGTGGCATTAAATATGTGTTAAATAAATGTCTATTTTGAGATGACCTAGCTCACCCCTCCTTTGAGAGATGAGGGAACGAAGACATCCCCTCCAAGTCCCCAAAAGAAATAAGGTGAAATGATTGACTCTGGGTTATATTACTGAGCATTGGGAGTATAAGTTATTCACCTATTCAACACGTATTTATTGAACACATATCCAGTGCCATACACTATTTGAAATTTTGGGGATACAGCGGAGAACAAAACAATCCTAGATTCTAATAAAGCTCTTTAAAGTTTAATTTGGGAAGACAGAAAAGAACTGTGATGCAAAATATGCCAGGGTAAAGAGATTGAGGGTGTCATGGGGAGAGTTGCTTTTTTTTTTTTTGAGACAGTGTTTTGCTCTGTCACCCAGGCTGGAGTGCAGTGGTGCGATCTTGGCTCACTGCAGCCTCGACCTCTTGGCTCAAGCAATCCTCCCACCTCAGCCTCCTGAGTAGCCGGGATTACAGGCCCAAACCCTGGATAATTTTTGTATTTTTAGTAGAGATGGGTTTTTACCATGATGCCCAGGCTAGACTTGAACTCATAGCCTCAAGCAATCTGCCCGCCTGGTCTCCCAAAGTGCTGGGATTACAGGCATGAGCTACCATGCCTGGAGAGTTGGTATTTTAAATAGGAAAAAAGTTGAACAGAAATCTGAAGGAAGGAAACGAGGAAGCCAGGAGAATTTTCTGGACGGAGAAAAAAAAAAAAAGAAAAAAAGAGTGGTCCAGGCTTAAATAAGGCAAACATCAAAACCTGGAGGCAATAATAGGTGTACCCTATTCAGAGAACTCTAAGGAGGACCGTGTGGATGAAAGAAAGGAGCAGGGGGTAGGCGTAGAGGAAGGAGCAGAGGGTGGAGAGGGGCCTGGAGGTGGGAGAGGTAGTTGGAGGCCATATCAAGCAGGTGTGGTAGGTGGCCGTGAAGACTGACTTTTACTTAGACTGAAGACTGACTTTTACTTATATTAAGATGAGAAACCATTGGATAGTTTGGTGTGTTGCTTTTAAAGAGATGGAGTCTTGCTCTGTTGCCCAAGCTAGTGTGCAGTGTCTATTCACAGGAGCGATTATGACACATTACAGCCTTGAACTCCTGGGCTCAAGCAATCCTCCTACCCTGGCCTCCCAAGTATATGGGACTACAGGTGCATGCCACCACACCCATTTTTTGTTTTTTGTTTTTTGTTTTTTAAGTGCAGTGGCACAATCTAGGCTCACTGCAATCTCTGCCTCCCTGGGTCCAAGTGATTCTGGTGCCTTCGCCTCCCAAGTAGCTGGGATTAGAGGCATGCACCACTGCACTCAGCTAATTATGTAGTTTTAGTAGAGATGGGGTTTCACCATGTTAGCCAAGCTGGTCTGTAACTCCTGACCTCAAGTGATTCACCCACCTTGGCCTCCCAAAGTGCTGGGATTATAGGCGTGAGCCACCACACCCAGCCACCCATTTGCATTTTGAAAGGGTCACTCTAACTGCTGTTTGGAAAGGAGGTTTTAGGGGAATGGGGATAAATAAAAATAGACCAAAGAGAAGGCTAATCCAGACTAGAGATGGTGGTGGCTTGCATTAGAGGGTAGGGTAGCAGGTGAAATGATGAGAAAGGGTCAGGTTCTTACTCTATTTAAATAGTAGAACCAAGGGGATTCTATTTAAATAGAGTACTGATGGATTGGCTGTGGATTGTAAGTCAAGAACGGCTCCAAAGGTTTTGGCCTAAACAACTAGAAAGATGGATATGACTCTAATTTAAAAGGGGGAAAACAGAGAGAAGCAGATTTAAAAAGTGAAATAAAAAACGATTTCCTGGAATATTAGCTTGTGCCTGCTAGACATCCAAGTGTCAAATTTGAATAGGGGTTGGCTACATGTCATACAAGTCAGTTCAGGGGAAGAGTCAGAGCTAGAGATACGTTTGGGAATCTGCAGCTTCTTCCTAATATTTGAAGCCACAGAAATGGATGAAAGCATCTAGGAAGAAAATGCAGATAGACAAGAGAGGGAGTCCAAGGACTGAGGCTTGTGTCATTTCAATCTTTAGAGGATGTATAGATGAAAATCTAGCAAAGTAAACTGAGAAAGAGGAGCCAGAGAGGCAGGAGAACTCAGTCCAGTGAGGTCACTAATAACCTGAAAGAGAGAAGTCCTTCAGGGAAGGAATTATCAATCACCTACAATGCTACTGTTAGTTCCAATACAATGAGCATGCAACATTGACCATAGAATTTATTTCTTCTTTGTTTGTTTGTTGAGACTGAGTCTTGCTGTGTCGACCAGGCTAGAGTTGCAGTGGCGTGATCTCGGCTTGCTGCAACTTATGCCTCCTAGGTTCAAGCGATTCTCCTGCCTCAGCCTCCCAAGTAGCCAGAACTACAAACACGCATCACTATGCCCGGCTAATTTTTGTATTTTCAGCAGAGACAGGGTTTCACCATGTTGGCCAGGCTGGTCTGGAATCCCGACCTCAGGCGATCTGCCCACCTTGGCCTCCCAAAGTGCTGGGATTACAGGCATGAGCCACCATGCCCTGCCATAGGATTTGGCATCTCAGCAGTCCCTGGTGATGCCAAGAAGAGCCATTTTGGCAATGTGTTGAGTCAAAAAATTGAAGTGAGTTTAAGAAGAAGGGGAAGTGGAAACAAAGTACAGACAAACCTTTTGTAGAGTTTTGGGGTGGTATCTAGAAGGGGGTGTAAAGTCAAGGAAGATTCTGTCTGCTTTTTTTTTTTTAGGTGGAGTTTCACTCTTGTTTGCCCAGGCTGGAGTGCAATGGCGTGATCACGGCTCACCGCAACCTCCGCCTCCCAGGTTCAAGCGATTCTCCTGCCTCAGCCTCCCTAGTAGCTGGGATTATAGGCATGTGCCACCACGCCCAGCCAATTTTGTATTTTTAGTGGAGACGGGGTTTCTCCATGTTGGTCAGGCTGGTCTGGAACTCCCAACCTCAGGTGATCCGCCCGCCTCCGCCTCCCAAAGTGCTGGGATTACAGGCGTGAGCCACCATGCCCGGCTGCTTTTTTTTTTTTAATGGAAGAAATAACAGCATGTTTGATACTAATGGGAATAATCCACATGTGCCTATTTAAATTAATCAAAATTAAATAAAAATTTAAAAATTCAGTTCCTCAGTCAGATTAGCTACATTTCAAGAACTGAAGAGCCACAAGTAGCTAGTAGCTGCCATATTGGATGGCACACATAGAGCACATTCCCATCATCGTAGAAAGTTCTACTGCACAGAGCATTAGAAAGTGAAGAATTCATAATGCCTGAGAGAGGGAAAGAGAGAGAGAGAATAAATTGAGTAGGCAACAGAGGATGGAATTCAGTTCAAAAGTGATGGGTTTGCTACAGTTAAGAATGCAGACAGTCCAGTCATTGTCACAGAAGGGAAGACAAGGTACATGGGTACAGACATGTTACCAAGGCTTGTAAAGGCAGTGAATGAATGAATGTTCTTTTCTAATTGCTTCTAGCCCTGAAATCATTAATCCCCAACCAACATTCCCTGTGTTGCTATATCAAGCTTCCTCTTGAAGTATGGAGCAACTACTAATGAAATTTTTCTAGTCATTCATTTATTCACTATTTAATGAGCACCTACAACCTGCCAGGCAGTGGCTTAAATGCTACAAAAAAATAGGGTGGGCAAAAGCAGGAATGGTCCTTACAGTTATGGAGCTTATATGCCAGAGGGCAAGGCAGATATTAGTCAAATAATTACCCTAAATGAATTTTACATAGATAGAGGTTTTGAAGGAAAGGCATGTTTCCATTAGAGTATGCCTCACCTAGGGAGTCAGAAAGGCTTCTTAGGAAAGGGATCTTTAGGATGAGGTCTGAAGGATGAAGAGTTGTTAATGCATGCAAGGTGTATGCACACATGTGTATGTGTTTGTGTGTGTGTATATAAGAGAGAAAGTGTAGTTTGCTTGTCTTTTAGTTAATACTTCCCAGGCTCTTCTCAGATTTCTTTAGACATACTCCAGAAGCAGGCTCCCTCAGCTTCTTCTGAAGTATAAAATGGATTCAGATGTTGTTTAGAAACCAGAGATCCCTGTCCTAGTGAATGAAATAGCCCCTGAAAAGAATCTTACTATGAAGAACAGCTTAGAAACTAGACTTTGCAAAAATACTTAAATGCTTGGTTTTCTTATGTGTAAAACTGTTGATATTTACACCTTCCTTCCAGGATTTTTTGGGAACGTCAGATAAAATAAATGAGATATTTACCTTACCAGACACATTGGAAGCTCTAAAAAATAAAGTAGCTATTTTTGTTGTTTTGTTGTTGCTCCTTTTCATATTCAAGTCTAACCTGATAAATTTGGGTTCTTCTCCAGTTTCTCCTTAGGGACTGATTTTCATGAAATAGTAATTAGTCCTACTGCATCACCGCATGTGATGCCCTTGGATATTTACTAATCTATTTTCTTCTATTTTATTTGTTTGTTTGTTTGTTTGTTTTTTGGGTTTTTTTGAGAGAGAGTTTCGCTCTTGTTGCCCAGGCTGGAGTGCAATGGTGCAATCTCGGCTCACTGCAACCTCCACACAAATGTGATTCTCCTGCCTCAGCCTCCCAAGCAGTTGGGATTACAGGCACCCACCACCATGCCTGGCTAATTTTGTATTTTTAATAGAGATGGGATTTCACCATCTTGTCCATGTCAGTCTCGAACTCCTGACTTCAGGTCATCCACCTGTCTTGGCCTTCCAAAGTGCTGGAATTATAGGCATGAGCCACTGATGCCTGGTCTACTTTATTTTTTGAATGTTGATTTATCTTAATTTAAGCCAGCTATTAGAAGACATTTTTTGAGACACTTGAAATTTGATTATGGATTGTATATTGTACAATACTAAGAATTATTGCTAATTTTCTTTTCTTTCTTTCTTTTTTTTTTTTAGACAGAGTCTCACTCTGTCACCCAGGCTGGAGTGTCGTGTCGTGTCATACAATCTCAGCTAACTGCAACCTCTGCCTCCTGAGTTCAAGCAGCAATTCTCCTGCCTCAGCCTCCTGAGTAGCTGGGATTACAGGCGTGCGCCACCTTGCCCAGCTAATTTTTGTATTTTTAGTAGAGACAATGTTTCACCGTGTTGGTCAGGCTGGTCTCAAACTCCTGACCTTGTGATCGGCCTGCCTTGGCCTCCCAAAGTGCTGGGATTACAGGCGTGAGCCACCACACCCAGCCTATTCTATTTTGTGTGTGTTTAAATATGTTCACGAAGAAAAATAATTTAAATGCTGGTTATATTTTGATTTCACTTCTCACTAATACAGCATGACTTGGAGTTTGAAAAACATCGCATTCAAATAGCCAATACAAATGCAAAGTAGACAAAAGCACCAGCTAAACAAATGTACCAGACTGTACCCTGAGAACTGGAGACCTGTTCATGGGAACATGATTAATTGACTTCTCCAACAAATAGTAGCTCAAACATCAAAACTTGCAGTTGTTGCTAAACCATTTTACATAAAATATTAAATCTCCAAGGTTGTAGCTCTTACAATCTAAGAAAAAGATTTGCATTTAAGACCAAAGTTTAAAAAGAAAGAAACATTTAACTTTGAAATTCTGAGCCCAAAGTATAGTACTCAGCACCCTAAATCGGAAGCTTACAAGGCAGGTGGCATTACCCTTGTTTCTCTTAGATCAATTTCTTTCTTGCCTCCTAATAATTTTTTATGACTCACAAAGA